TTTGACTTGAGCGTATCCTTCTCTTTTATATATTGATGACATGTGAGTGAGGCACTTATATATTCCTATTTGAGAGTTCGTTGATTCAAGGTAGACACAAGATAGTAGTCATAGATTCAACATGTACCACGAGGGCTACTTGCGTCATAGATTCAACATGTCCAAACGATTACTTTGTCAGATCGTTCAGGATATCGAAGGTCATTCTGATTAATGTACTGTGGTTGTATGTCAACTAACATACAGAGCTTCTGCAGATCAATGTGACGGGTACCTTCATATGTTAGAGCAGACGACGAATCAAAGTCTGCTCGAGTTTTGTTGTGCTGTGCAAGAAATATATGCACCCCAAGGACATCCAAATAATACTTGCATTCCACAAGGAGAAACAGGATTTTCCTGACATGTTGAAAGTCAAGATTGTATGCATTGGGAGTGAAAAAAAATGTCCAATTGGATGGCAAGGCTCGTACACTCGAGGGGACTACCCACGATTATGCTTGAAGTAGTGGCATCACAAGACTTATGGATCTAACACACAATTTTGGGGATTGCGGGATTACAAAATGATATAAATGTACTACACGAATCTTCATTATTTAATGATGTTTTACATGGTGTAGCTCCAGACATCAATTTTGTGGTTAACGGAACTCAATACACCAAAGGATACTACTTAACAGACGGTATTTATCTAGAGTGGACTACATTTGTTACAAGCTTTCAGTGTCAAGGATCCAAAATGGGGAAAAAAATCAAACAAAGGCAAGAGGCTGCAAGAAAAGACGTTGAGCATGCTTTCAGGGTCCTCCAATCAAGATGAGCATATATACGAGGTCCTTCTCGTTTTTTGTATAAAGGAGATCTTAGCGAAATTATGTTATCATGTATCATTTTACATAAGTACATGATAATCAAGGATGACGACGAAAAAGCTACCAACTGGTCTAATGATGAATGAGAACCACTAATGCTGGCCCGTGAAGGGGTGTCTCCAAATTTTCGTCGTCACTTGCAGATAAGTGATGAGGTGCAAGACAGACAAATTCTTCATCAACTTCAACACGACTTGGTTGAACATATTTATAAAGAACCTACTTCCCAATATTAATGTTCAGAAAAAATAGTACTCAAGATTTAATTTTCAACATTATGTAAGTTCTATGTTTCGTAACTTTTATAAGTAAAATTATACATTCGTACGTACTTAATGCTATATAATTATAAATATTGCAATATAATTATATTATTTTTTAGATGTATACATGATACTATATGAAAGATTTACATTTAATGAAAATAAAAAGTATAGTTATAATTTTAAAAAATAATAAAAATATAAGAATATAATATTAATTAAAAGTAAGTGGAAAACATGTGAGACTTATAAAATATGAGGTTTATGGGGTTTATCGTTTTTGGAGGTTTGTAAGGACATCTTTAGTAAGAGGTCTTAGAGAGGTTTAAAAACTAAAACCTCTCAGGCTTAACACTATAAGGATGGAGTTTGTGTTATTAAACCACGTTTGAGATTTTAAACCTCACAAAAACCTCCAACTGGGCATTAAATAAATATAAAAATAAGGAAAAGATAATAGAAAATATAAAAGTAATAATTTTATAATAGAGTAAGTAGAAACATGTGTTTTCCATATAAATCAAATATGTAAGGTGTATTGTTACGGAGGTTTGTGATGTAGGAGTAAGATTAAAGTTTTGGTGATGTGATGCACCAAAAAAAAATGAAAAATGAGGTTTAAGGTGTTTTGTTGTTAACGATGCTCTGAGTGTAGGTGTAAGAATGAGGTTTTTGAATGATGTGACGTGTTGAGAAGTGTAAAAGTAAGATTTATAGCATTGTTAAATTCGGCCTAGGCGACGCCTAGGTGCTAGGCGGTGCCTGGACGCTTCCGATTTGTACAAATCGGCAGAAAAAATCGGGTAGGTGGCCCCAGGCGGACTTGGCAGACTTGGCGACAATTTTTTAGTTATTTCAAAAAAAAAAAATATATTTAAAATATTAATTATGTTATTTTGTTCTCATGTTTCCTTTAAAATATATATTAATATTATTATTTGGACTTAAGTATGTCGATTTATTTGTTGGGATAGTTTTATTTTGTAGGTAGTTAAAATAAATAAAAAAATAAGGTATTTAATATTGATTTCTATGCCCCGATTAGTCGCCGCCTAGGCGACTCTAGGCGTTGGCGCTACTCGAGCGCCTAGCGACTTTCAGAACACTGATTTATAGAGGTTTATGAAAAAAAATTGCTAAAGATGCTCTAATAACTAATTTTTTTTTTTTTTTCGGAACGATAGAACTATTATATAACTAGCACAAATGTGCAAAAAAGCAGTCACCGGCTGAATACAAAATAACTAACAGCTGAATAGAAACAACCAACAACTAAAAATAGGAAGAACGGGTCAGAAGACCGCTTAAAACCGACCCCAACGGGGTAATATGCGAAAAACACAAAAAACTACTAATAGACAACACAGGGAAAAATTCAAAATTAGTCCCACAGGTATAGGGGGTGACATTTTTTGTCCCAACGGAATCCAGAAAATATTAATAGTCCCACAGCTTTTAAAAAATGATCAAAAGTAGGACTTCAATTTTCCGGCCCGGAATGCCAGGTGGCCACATTCATCTGACGTGACTGAGTACAATGGCAAGGAAAAAAAATCAAAACTAGTCCCACAGGTTTTGAGAGGTGACATTTTTGGTCCCAAAAGAATCCATAAAATCTTAAATAGTCCCGCCACGTGTGTGCCACGTGGCATTCCGGGCCGGAAAATTGAAAAAGTCTTATTTTTGATTATTTTTCAAAAGCTGCGGGACTATTAATATTTTTTGAATTCCGTTGGGACCAAAAATGTCACCCCCTTACACCTGTGGGACTAATTTTGAAATTTTCCCGACAACACATAAACCCCAAGAGTGTAATAACTAAATTTTGAACATCAAGGATTGTAGCATACTGACTAACGTCAAAATTGCAATAAAAAATAATAAAGAATCATTTTTGCGATATTTAATGCCAAATTTGCAATTCGATCAATCTTATAGGACTAAATTCACATAACAACCCCATTAGTTTTGAATTTTGATAGGGTTGAGACAAATATGCAACAATAATTGGGGGGAAAAAAAAAAATGATTATACAATTCATGGGACCAAATTTACAATTGGCTCCATCTTCCATGACCGAATTTGCAATTTTCTAAACCTTCTTATTACAAACTCTTTTTCAGGCTGGGTTTCGACTCCAATCGCAGAAATCAAAGCTCAGAGATGGCTCCGAAAGCGAAAGACAAAGCAAGGCCCCCCGCCGCCGCCGCGGCCCCCGCGATTGCCGTCGAAGACCTCTTCACAACCCTCAATCGCCATATTCAACGGTCGGAATACGACCTAGCCATCAAAGTCTCAGATCAAGGTATATATGTAACTCAATTGACTCGTATGTGTTCAATGCGTATAAATTTGATGTTTATATTATTTGGGGTTTTCAGTTATTTCTATTGCTCCGGGAGATGAGGATGCGATTAGGTGTAAGGTTGTGGCTTTGATTAAGAACGACAGCATTGACGATGCTTTATCGGCAATCGAAACCTATTCTAAGAAGTCGTCCATCGATTTCAGTTTCTTCAAGGTGATGTATTGGTTCGATAAACATACTCAATGTTTTTCTTCCTTTACTTTCTTAATTTTTATTGGTGATTAATTAAGAGCTACTTATTGTTACTGTGCAAAGGTACAAGCAATGCAACAAAGTTTATAGTGTAGCACTTGCTCTCGATGTTCTTATGCAAGATTATGATTTAGTTATTTAGCTCAGATTGGGTGTAGCTATTTATGCTATGAGCCAATGAGCTAAAATAATGCCTTACAGTGGTCTGTATTCATGTTTTTGGAAGAATGATGCTTTACAGTGATTATGTGTTTTCTAGTTGGCATTTCAGACTTTCAGTCGACAAGTTGCAATTTGGCGGCATGAAGTTTAGTGTTATGATATACTCTTTTGCGGTTAGACTCAAATCCTTTGATGTACTTGTATTCTGATCCCTATTTTTTTTTTTCTGCGAAAAACATTTTTTATAGACCAAGTATCACTGCCGGAGATTTGAGTCAATTCTTTTATGTATGTTTATATTTTACCTTAGAACACTGATTTGAATGTTTAGTGCGTATGACTGATTTTCAACTCTTGCACTCATATATCCAATTTCCCTTATCAGAATTTTTTATCCTTCTTTCCTTTTTCTTTTCTTTTTTGGATTTGCATGCAGTGGCCAAACTTCACAACCCTGTTTCTCTATTTGATTTAGATGAGTTAAATGTGTGCCAAGCTAGCCGATTGTAGGTTAATCTGTTTAGTAGCCCAAATTTAAGCATTTCCCCAGAATATTAATATAGTTTTCCCTCCACATAATAGGCATACTGCTTATATCGGAAAAATAAGTTGGATGATGCTCTGGGATCTTTGAAAGGGCAAGAAGGAAACTCTGCTGCTATGTACTTAGAATCACAGATATTATACCGTTTAGGAAAAATGGATGCTTGTGTTGATGTATATCAAAAGCTTCAGAAGTCGAAGGTAGATTCCTTGGAAATAAATTATGTTGCCGCATTGGTTTCTGCTGGGAGGGCTACTGAAGTTCAGGGGATTATGGATGCTCTCAGAGTTAAGCCAACGAACAGCTTTGAGCTGGCTTACAATGTTGCCTGCTCATTGCTAGAAAGAAACAAGTACAAAGATGCAGAGCAACTGTTGCTTTCTGCTCGAAGGTGATATCCAATCTAAAAAATGTCGATAAATTTGCCAAGTAGCGTGTATGAATTTTTTAGCTACTTTGTGCAGAATTGGACAGGAAACACTAATGGAAGAAAATTTAGCTGATGACGACATAGAAATTGAGTTGGCACCTATTACTGTTCAGCTAGCCTATGTTCAACAGGTTTGTTGTGCATTTTGCTCCTGGTATCCAAATTTCATTGTAGGCAGTGATTCAATAATGTTACATTTGTTGTTACCACAGGTCCTAGGAAACACTCAAGAAGCATTTGAATCTTATTCCAGTATGATAAAGAAAAATCTGGCAGATGAATCATCAGTTGCTGTGGCAATAAGCAACCTCATCGCACTAAAAGGTCCCAAGGATGTATCTGACGGCCTCAGAAAACTCGACAAGCTGATAGAGAAAGGTGAAGGGCCTCTGCCCTTCCATCTTGCTCGTGGCCTTGACCTAAAGCTTTCTCAAAAGCAAAGAGAGGCAATATACGCTAACCGTCTCTTGTTGCTACTTCACTCTAATAAGTTGGATCAGGTAACACATTTACACTATCCTTTCTTCTCATCCATGTGCAACTTTCGTTTTACCTTTTTCTGGTTAATTGCAAAAGCTACCCTGAACTTTAGACTATAACTATTTAAGCCCCTCAAGATAGAGGCGTTTCTTATTCCTTGGAAGACCTGTCTTTGTCAAGAGCTCCTGTAAACTAAAGCTATTTTAGGTGCACTTTTGTAATTTAGCCCTTTTATCTATATATAGTATATACACACGTCATAGGTTTATGTTGGCTTTCTCCAAGTAAGAAATCAATTTTGCAGGCCCGAGAACTTGCTCTCGTGCTTCCAGCCATGTTCCCAAACAGTATAACCCCACTTCTCCTCCAAGCCGCCGTGCATGTACGTGAGAACAAAGCCAACAGGGCCGAGGAGATACTCGGCCAGAATGCAGCCAAATTCCCAGAGAAGTCGAACACAATCCTTCTCGCGCGGGCCCAGATAGCTGCTGCTGCGGGCCACCCTCAGATAGCTGCTGAGTCCCTCCTGAAAATTCATGACATCCAGCACAAGCCCACAACAGTGGCCACAGTCGTCTCGCTCAAGGAACGAGCTGGCGATATTGACGGCGCAGATGCCGTCTTCGAATCCGCCATAAAATGGTGGTCAAATGCAATGACTGAAAACAACAAGCGCGATGTGATAGTGCGAGAAGCTGCCTCATTTAAGCTCAGACACGGGAAAAAGGAAGAAGCCGCCCGTCTGTATGAGGAGCTGGTGAGGAGCAGCAATAGTATCGAAGCTTTGGTGGGCCTTATCAAAACTGCTGCTTATACGAATGTTGAGAAGGCGGAGTCTTACGAAAAGCAGTTGAAACCGCTTCCGGGTTTGAAAGGAATTGATGTCGAGAGTCTGGAGAAGACATCTGGGGCAAAGCACGTCGATAACGGGGTCTCAGCAGGTGTTGGTGAAACTTACGAGCCGAAAGCGAAGGAGAAAAATAAGAAGAAGAGAAAGAGAAAGCCCAAGTACCCGAAAGGATTCGACCCGGCAAACCCAGGCCCACCGCCGGATCCGGAGAGGTGGCTTCCGAAGAGGGAGAGGTCGAGCTATAGGCCCAAGAGGAAGGATAAGAGGGCCGCTCAGGTTAGGGGATCCCAGGGTGCTGTTGCTAAGGAGGCTCCTGGTGGTGTCAACTCAAAGACGAATGTCAATTCTAAGGAAACTTCTCAGAATGCAGGCACTGAGCAAAACAAGCGTTCGTCAAAGTCGAAGAAGAAATCGAGGAATTAGATCACGAGGAACTACATTATGGCTTTACATAAAGAACTGTGTTAGTGATGAAAGCTAGATATTGATCTACTATTTGTGTTGACCATGGGACTCTCAGTCTTTAGTTGATGTGTCATTTTTCTTTTCTTTTCTTCTTTTTTTTTCTTTTTTTTTTTTTGGCCGACTAAATGAGAGATTTTATGTTGTCGAGGTCCATTTGCTGCTCGTTTGGGCTGTTAGTGGTATGCACTTGGCGTGAAGCTAAGTATAACCACTGAGCCCGTCATTGGATGAGTGAAATAGTTGAACAACTTTTTGTTTATTATTTATTTCTTCCAGTTTTGAACTACATAAACTTGTGTTGCTTATACATAGACCATGCAGGGTAACATTATTGTATTCCAAACTTTGAGCACAATTGTCCATCATCCTGGATACAGATAACTTGGTTCACCGCTGGCGTATCCCTTCATGTTAGATCACATTTAGCAACATGCGTATCAATTTTCACATGTAAAAAACAAACACCATTTGTAGAATTAGATCACATTTAGCAACATACATATCAATTTTCACATATAAAGAGCACCATTTTTTAGAACTTAGAGGTGAATTATATCTAATTCCAAAATTATATTGATCTTGAGGGCATGATAGAAGAGCAATTGGCTACAAATTCCAAAATGAAAAGTACCTTTTCGATTTGGTTTATCTTCGAGGTGCCAGTGGTGTTGGTTGAGTGCATTGGTTCGATGGGGAGGACATTAATATAGTATTAGTCTAGTATTAGTTTTTTTCTATGTTTGTTTGTCTAGGTTTCTTTCTTTCTTGTTTTGTCTCCGCTTATGGTGGTTGCTTAGTCTTCACTTCTTGTTTTGTCTCCACTTATGGTGGTTGCTAAGTCTTCACTTGTGCAAGTTGACTTTTCCTCTTCTGGGAGGTTCCTTTCCTTGTTAGGTCTAGGATGCTCTGTTGTAAACCTCCAAATTATAGATTCAACTAGTTTCGTTTATCGGTTTATATTGTTGACTTGTAGATCTAAGATGCTTTCTTGTAAACCTGAGAGCATCTCTTATAAGAGGTTTTGGAACAGGTTTGAAACATTAAACTTGTAGGTTTTCTATTAGGAGGATGAGCTTTGAGGTTTGAGAATTTAAACCGAGAGCTCACTTGTAAACCTGTAAAATAAAATAAAAAATGAAAGAAGAAAAGAAAAGGTTGTTAAGGTGTGTAACACACTTTTTTCATGTTAGTTCATGTGTGTTTCACACACACAAAAGAGAGTGAATGAGCAAAGGCCCACATGTCCTCCCACTCCCATCATTTTCTTATGTTTTCATTTTTGAGGAATTTACACCCCATCCCTTCATATTTCATTTATATTACACTTACTAATACACAGGTGCTTGTTAAAAAAATATTCTTAAATTTTAAAATTAATGAGAAAACTATATTAAATTTAGTTTACTTATTTACAAAAAAATATATTACTATATATTTTAGAATGATATGTGTTACTTATGACTTACATGTGTTATATTATATTGGTTTTTATAACTTATATCATATAACTACTTGAAATATAAATATACTAGTATTCGACCTGTGTATTTGCACAGATGTAAATAAAGTATTGTGAGTTATTTGTATACATATAATGATTAATTATTTTTCTTTCACCTTTTTGCTGGCCAAATTTACATTTAAAGGAGTTAGAGTACTTTTTCTTAAAAAAAAAAAAAAAATTGCGTTTATCTAATTGGATGTAATGTATATTTTTTTTGAATTATTTATTATTTATTTAGGAATTTCAAATACGTTTTTTATTTTAAAAATAAATTAAATTAAATATAACCACAATAATAACATCTAATCACATTATCAACACATTATATGGTCAACTGTCAGTAATCAAAAGTTGAAAATGATTTTTGTAATTTTGAAGTGATTAGTGTTGATTACTTAATAATTAAATGAAATATTAAATATATCAAAAGTAACGGTTTTTGGAGGGAAAATGGTTAAATTGCCACATAGGTAAAATTAAATAGGTTTTATTAAATGCTATTAGCTAGTAATTATATATATATAGATTAGTTGATAAATAATTTTATTTTTCTGATTAATATTAAAAATAATTTTATTATTGTTATAAAGATAAATATTATTTTTTTTATACATACAATATGGATGTTAAATCGAAGCTCATCAAAAGAATATTAATTTGATATATTACATATGTAAAGCTGATAAAAAATACAGAAGTTATTAACTTTTAAAATATATATACAGTTCAATAGTTACAGTAGGGAATGATATTAAAATGCAATTAATACATGTAACATGACCATAAATAATCAACATATTTATGGTAATAGTAATCCGAACCTAATTATTTTTGGTTTGGAATTAAATTAAAATTTACCCAAGCCTAATAACGAAGCATTTAATTTTGCCACATAGGATTCCGAAGCACCAGAAGCAGCCACGTAGGCTCAGCGCATTCTGGATTAATATATAGGGGGATAGAGACCTTTCACTTTTATTTATAAAACAACTAAACAAACACAATAATATTGCAAATATACCTAATATGATGTGTTAGCAAATATAACTGTCCATCGCAGAACAAGTTTCACGCGACAACCCTTTTCTCGCCCAAATCGACGAAAATCCTTCAAATTTCTCAAAAAACCCAGACTTTGATCGCAACTAAACAATTAGATGCAGAGAATTTTCTGACTCTTATAATCGATAAGACCCTCAGAATTTTAGAGAAAAGATTTTCTCAGCCCCTTCGGTTGTTTTGTATACGCGGGTGTTTGCAGCGGCCAAACCCGTGGCGAGCCGAGTGTCGAGCAGGCTGGGGTTCACGCGAGCAGACAGCGAGGCGAGCGAGAAGTCGAGAACCGGAGCCTTTACCCGTTCTCCTGTTGGAACCCACGAGGATCTCGATATGCACAAATCACAGACAAACATTCAAC